TTAATAAATGGTAACACTTTATTTTGTCGGTCATTAGCAGATCGCTTGTATGTCAGCTTATAGAAAAAAACAGCTGATTAACGTGACTTTGAAATGCTCCAGTGTCCCTGTATCTGTGGTTACACTCAGTAAACAGCAGTGAGTTCGGTGAACTGATGACCTTCACGACCAATCACAGTCATTTCTCTTGAGCACATGAACACCATGGCAAATCAATGCTGTTTAAGAATGTGCTGAACAGCGCTCAAATGTTCATGGAAAATAAACATTTTTAAAATGTCAGTATGGATTAGTACCGAATTCAGTATCATGACATAGAGCTGCAATCGGGCTTTAAAAATTAGTGCCGATGGGGCCCGAGCCCGACAGAATTCAGCCCGAGCCCGACAGGTACATTTTGATGTTTAAAAGCCCAAACCGGTTTACAGCCTGACATTATTCAAATGTGCACAGGTACACAGCTCTTTTGCCTTTTTTACAAGAACGAGTCATTTATATGTTTTAACATAATCTATTCGTAACTAACGTAGGCTATAGGCCACTTGGAAGTTGGAACAAAGAAATAAGATAAGTCCTCTGTAACATCGTAACATCTCAGCACTCTAAATAGGCCTATACATACACTTAGCCTTTAAATTGGCCAACACACCAATGAAAAGAAGTCTTGCTTAACAAATTAAATTAAAAAAATTATAAATGATGACGGGTATTTGGCAATAACAAAATTAAGATAAAGACTCCTCTGGATTTGTTTTGCCACTTCTCTTCACAATCTTTCATTAAGGCGACGGTGAAGCTGAATAATAAAATAATAGCCTAATGCCAACATTAGCCTGTATTCTCTGTCTACTTTAAGATTTTATGGTTTAATTCATATTTTTTAGAATTTAAAAATCCTGTACTCACCAAGATTAGGCTATGTGCTTTTCTGGAGGAACTTTATTTAATCCACTGGCTTTAGCGCAGTCCTGCCCTCAGGATGGTTCGTCCAGCAGCATCGAACACCCTTTCACTGCTGCTGCTAGAGGCCGAGATGCATAGTTTTGATCTGGCTAATTTTGCAAGTTTTGGGATTTTTTGTTCATCTTCTACCAGCCAGCTACATCTATTTTATTTTCCATGACAGCGTTTTCAATGTGGTAAATGACCTCATCTTTTTACCTGTCAACTAACTGTTTTGTGCTCTACCGTAATACGCAGTGTATGAGCGACCGCCGAAATACCTTGGCGGCTAGAGTGACCGTTCCTTCTGAACTTTTTTGACTTTTACAGGCCCGGATTGGCTAATCGGGAGGACCGGGAGAATTCCTGGTGGGCCGGTGCGTTTTTTGGCCGCGAGGGCCGTTGTTCCTAGCTCCAGAATCTGTTGCTCTCAGCAGTCACACTTTTTACATTAATTATTATTTTTTTACTTGACCACAGTCTTCTTATTAATTATTTTACCAAAGCTCTGCTCTTTTTCTTTTTAGCTATCACAGTTGTCGTGGTCCAGTGGTTAGCGCGTTAGGCTATGACACTGCGGACCCGGGTTTGATCCTCGTCTTTGTAGGTTTTTTATTTTTTTATTTTTATTGTTAAGGCATATAATACTGTTAGGGTTGTTGAACATTTGAAGTTCTAAAGCAGCTGTTTTCTCAAAAAATATGTGATAGTGTCATTAGAAACTGATTTGGAAATGACCTTATTCTAATATAGTCAGTCGTGAACTGAGGTGGGCCGGTCTGAGGCTTGAAACTCCAGGGCTGAAAAGGAGTCCCACTCCGGCCCTGGACTTTTCCATCATTATTTGTTTCACCTTTGCAGGGATGGATTTTAATGTTGTAACAAACGATTTGATTACTTTCTTGCGCTAATCGAAATGCATCACATGACTTTTCATTTACCTACTGTGCAAGCCAAGCCCGGCCCGACCCCATCTAAAATGATAAAAATCAAACCCAAGTCCCGTTGGGTTCAGGCAAAGATCTTTAGCTCTATCATGACAACCCTAATCTCAGCAAGCAATCCTTTTTTTGGATACAAACGCTTTTCAACATTAATTAATTTCAATCCCTTCAATTTTTTTTTCAATTGATTAATCAAATAAAAATACAGCTGTTAAATCTTCATTGCACACAGTAAAAAGTGATTATTAACCTAAACCTAATTATTTACTCACCCATAGTCAAATATAATCCTGACTCAACACTGCAGATCCTGCGGGTGTGCACATTGTGATATCGATGCTGAAACGATATATTGTGCAGCCCTACTTTTGGCGATGTTCACATGTTGGGTTTATTTGTGCTGAATTATTGTTGGCTGTCTGGCTTGCATGTCTCAGCCGGACAGGCGTCGTGAATCCAGACCTCTTGCTCTCTTTTGTGAGCCGATGTCACAGTGGATAAAGGTCTCAGTGTTGCTTGGCAATAGTTTCGTCCTTCCAGACGGATGCGTCCTTGTTTCGTGCTCTCAACAGATTGCTCAAATCTAGAGTGGCCAAACAATAGATAAACAAAATGCATAATGAACAATCAAAAACGCAATAACAACACCGTTGCTAAAACTGATAATGTATACTTGAACGCTTAAAAGTCATGCTTAAAGTGCATAAAAGTCATCTTTTAATTGCAATTAAATAATTTCTCTTATGATAGCTTCAGTTTTATTATTAGCATTACTTAATTTTATTGCTATTTATTATTAAATACCTTGTGATTTTAAGTGGATATGAACTAAAAGAGTGCAAAGATACAAATGTAGTTGAAGTCACCATGAAATGGTCACAACATTGACAAATTTTGAATAATTTTTTGAGTTAAAAAAATCAATCAATCAATCAATATTTGTATATATTAATGGGCCTATTTAGTTTTTTTTTTTTTTTTATTGAATTAGTTGTGTAAATTTTCTTTCCATCAATTATCAATTGCTTGATTTTCAGTTTTTTTTTTATTATTACTTTTATTTAATTTTGTGAGTAAAAAATCTTTGGTTTAAAAAATCAGTTTTTTTTGTTTTTTTATCTGATGGCTGATAGCCGTGCGATATTTTGCCAGTAACATCACACAAAGCCTCTTCACCCTTTACCTCTGTGTATTACTCCGCCCACATACAGCAAGCAACAAGCAGGCTACAGTTTGACAAAATTACTGTTGTTACAGAAAACAAAATGTACTATTGAGGCTTTTTTAGTCAAGAATATAGTTGTTTAGATTGCAACTATGCAGTTTATTTGTAAGAATAGTTTAAGAATCTATTTATATTAATGCAAATTTCTAATTAGGCAATCACATGGGAGCAACTCAGTGCATGTAGACATGATCAAGACCATCTGCTGCAGTTCAAACCGAGCATCAGAATTTATGATAATCATTATTTCATATTTAAAAAAACAAAAACATTTACCGGCCACTTTATTAGGTACACCTGTCCAACTGCTCGTCGACACAAATTATTAATCAGCAAATCACATAGCAACAACTCAATGCATTTAGGTATGTAGACATAGTCAAGACAATCTGCTGCAGGTCAAACCGAGCATCAGAATAAGGAAAAAAGGTGATTTAAGTGGCTTTGAATGTAGTGATGGTTGTTGGTGCCAGACAGGTGGGTCTGAGTATTTCAAAAGCTGCCGATCTACTGGGATTTTCTTACACAACCTTCTCTAGAGTTTAAAGAGAATGGTCTGAAAAAGAGAAAATATCCAGTGAGTGGCAGTTCTGTTGGCGCAAATGTCTGAGGAGAATGGCCAGACTGGTTTCAGCTGATAGAAAGGCAACACTCAAATAACCACTCGTTACAACTGAGGTCTGCAGAAGAGCATCTCTGGACGCAGAACAAGTCCAACCTTGAGGTGGAAGGGCTACAGCAGCAGAAGACCACACCGGCCTCCACTCCTGTCAGCTAAGATCTTCTGATGGCTACTCTCAGCAGGATCACACTCCATGTCATGAAGTGTGATTCATCTCAGACTAGTTTCTTGAACATGACAATGAGTTCACTGTACTCAAACGGCCTCCCTAGTCACCAGCTCTCAATCCAATATAGCATCTTTGGGATGTAGTGGAATGGGAGATTCACATCATGGACCTGCAGCTGACAAATCTGCAGCAACTGCATGACGCTATCAAGAGCAAAATCTCTGAGGAATATTTCCAGTATCTTGTTGAATCTATGCCACGAAGGATTAAGACAGTTCTGAAGGCAAAAGGGGGTCCAACCTGTTACTAGTAAGGCGTACCTAATAAAGTGGCCAGTGACTGTGCATGTGTGTGTGTGTGTGTGTATATATATATATATATAT